CCGGGCTCCCGGCTCGTCCAAATCACCTCTTTTCCTCGCGCCGCTCCCGCGGCCCCTCTGCGAGTCCCCCCAGCACTGCTTCTCGGTCGTTTTGGGTTCAGACCTCTTGCGCTCATAGAACGGAGAATCTATGAGATTCTATGAGAATCTACGGAGAATCCCAGAGAGCTCGTCCTTCTTCCTCAGTTTACATTAGAAATGAATGAGTTGTGAACACAGAAACGTGTACATGTGCACTCTGCCGGTGAGACCTGGAGACTCGGGAGTGACGGCGGAGGGGACCAGGGCGTCTGCGGTCAGGACAACGACTGTCCATCTGCCTGCTGCGAGTCCACGCCCAGCACCTTCGAGGGCGTTAGCGAGCGGACGAGTTCGCGTCTGGGACGCGGCAGAGCCCGGGGCACGCCGGGGCCGCGAGCGCTCCCGTGGGACGAAGAGGAACCGAGTCACCGACGGCACGGAGGACTGCACGGGAAGTGCCAGCGACGGGAGCGGCTTCGCCCCACCGGAGGCTGGCGGCACAGACGACACCCCGGAGGGCTGGCTCTGGCGGTGTCCTGAGTACCTTTCTGGCCCTGTGGCTCTGGTACGGTGGTGTACGCGCGCGTATGCGAGTGTGTGCGCGCGCGCGTCTCAGTTTGGACTAAGCCTTTTGTGTGTCTACACCAGCGTTCCAGTTGGTGATTTACGGGGGTAAAATGACCCCTGGTGGCCAAACCGGGGAACTGACCATGGTCCCTCCGTTAGCCTCGGCCCGGCTTCCTCTACCTCGCGGTAGGTTAGAGCCCCAAGGTGGGTCCTTACCATTTCCCGCTGCTCGGGGCGATCCCCGCTGGCCAGTACCCGACCCAGCTTGCTTCAGCCTTGGGTTCAAAATCTGTGCCTTTCCGGACCTTCAAGAACAAGCAGCACAATACCTCAGTCCAAAATCTCAGAACTTTGCCCTACCCAAACTGAACACAACTTCTAAAAATTACTTGAGAGCCAGGCATGGTGGTGCACGCCTGTAGTCCTAGCACTCTGGGAGGCTGAGGCAGAAGGAATGAAAATTTGAGCTCAGCCTGGGCAATTTAGCAACGAAGCAAGACCCCCACCTTGAAAGAGAAGAAGGGGATGTAGGTCAGTGCAAAGGCCCTGGGTTCAACTTGCAGTGAATCAGGCAGTCATAGCAGAGCACAGTGGAAGGCGGGGTGCTCCTCATTTGCCAGCCTCTAGGTTCCACCCCCAGACCATGAAACTAACTAAATAATTTTTTAAAGAGTTGAATGCTGTAACTTATGATTAGGTACATAATTAAAACCAACAGTGTGCATCATCTAACACACCATATAATGTGCTTTTTATTTATTCCAGTGTGGATAGCCCATCTCCCCTCCTCGCCTCCCAAGGCAGGATGTAAGCTCTGTGGGGGCAATGGCTAGGGTGTTGCTTGGGGTGCTTGCCCCCCCCAGCATTTGTCAGCCCTTGCTGCAGCCGGTGGGAGCCACACCGCAGGTGGACAGCGATGACTCTGAAGGCTGAGGGTGAGGGAAGGCACCATGGGCTTTTGCTCGCTCGGACAGACTGCAGAAGCCGAGACACAACGGGCTGGGGCAGGTGGCCAGCCTGGCCCGCAGAAGTGTGCGGCCTCCAGATGTCTGCTGTGCGAAGTCTGGGGCCGGAGCTGCCGAGGACGGTTTCCCTGTGCTCACACAGCCCAGGGCCTTCAGCAGAGTTGCCGGCGGCATGGGAGGAACTGGACCTGACAGCAACACGCTGGGCCAACTTGGGGAAGCCTGCTCTTTGCCCAGAGTGAGCGGGAGAGGGATGTGGGAAGCCCAGGGCTCTCGTCCATCTTCCAGGCTAGGAAATCCGAAGGAGGAGAAAGAGAAGACTAGATGGAAAGAGCTACAGCCTTAAAAGTTTAAAAAAACATTCTGGCCTGACACAGTGGCTCACACCTATGGTTCCTGCTCCTCACTGAGGAGGCTGAGGCAGGAGGACTGCTTGAGCCCATGAGTTCAGCCTTAGTCTCAGCAATATAAAGGGACACTGTCTTGGGAAAAAAGATCTCTTGTATACCAGGATTTCAGTTTACCGCTTCAGATGCCTCATCTCATGTAATGGTCAACAGCCCTCTGAGCTGGGGATGCACAGAGGGACACTCAAGACAGTCCGGAGGGAAAGTCACACAGCCAGGAGGTGGCTCAGGCTCTCCTCCCCACAGAGCAGTGTGTCCTGCTTCAGCCTCCCCATCCTGCTGCCAATCCGCCCTCCTTTCGGTGCCTCTCCATCCTTCCTCATTTGACCCCCTCTCAGCTCTCACCCTGAACCTACACCTCAGCTGTGCCCCGCCTGTTCTTCCCAGGTCTTCCTCCGAGACTCAGTCCGCTCCTGCCAGGTGAGCGCACTGAGGACCGGCTCAGCCCTGGCTCCCATCGCGTTGGGCCCTAAACACAGCCAGGGAGGGCTCAGGCAGGAGTAGATCCTTGGTGGCCTTGACTTCCTGCCGTTGGCTGTGACCCCTCGAGCAGCCTGGGGTGTACCCAGCGCCTCTACAGCAGCACACTTGTCTACACTGCGGAGCTGACTGTCTCTTGGGCTTCAGTTCCTCTGAGACTGCCTCCTCCTCACGCTAGCAGAGATGGACGCGATCTGGGATCGTCACTGGTCTTGAACCAGGACCAGGTGAGACTCCCGAAGGACAGCAGAGAAGTGCTTAGTTCTTGGTTCTGAACCATCCTGAGGGATCCCTGCGAGGTTGCCACCTGAGTCCTACAGAAGCGATGGGAAGGGTGGAAGGGAGATGGCAGCAAGCCACGTGCTTCTTTCTTCCAGAGGCCCTGGAATCAGACAGGCTGGGAGAATCCGGCCCTGCTACCCTCATCAGAGGAACCCTGAAAAAGCTAGGAAGTAAAGTTTCTCACACGGGATTTGGGAAAAACCAAAGGCTTCCAGAGCCTTGGGTTCAGAAGATCCTGGGCAGTGACTTCAGCTCCCACCTCAGTCCTTCACCTCCCTGAGCCTGTTCGCTTCTCTTAGAAACGGGGCTCACAACACCTCCTCATGGGTACCAGCGAAGGTCCCCGAGGCGAAGCGCGTGCCTTGGAAGCAGGCACAGAAGCCCACGATGACTCTCACCCAGAGGGGCCGGCGCCCCAGCTGGCAGGAGCGGGCCGGGCACGTTTCCCCGGTGCTGGGTCAGGCCGACGCCTCCGGGCAG